TATTTTGCAAACGGCATTAGTTCAAAGTCGAAATAAGATAAGATTTAATAGTTTTTAACTTGAACTATGTAAAACTTTAAAACTACCAAAGCTTTTTAAACTAAATTTGCAACACAAAAATAGCTCAAGATAAGCTTTCAAAAACTGCTATGATGTTAGAAAAAGTTCAAATATTACGGAAGCTACAGTTGTTCAAAGTTGAATTTAAAATAAAAATCAAAAAATATTAAAAGTTTGTTCACTTACAACATTTTAAATTACTAAAGCTTTTTTGAGCTAAGCATTAATAAAGCTTGAGTTAAGCTCTCAAAAGCTGCTGAGTTAATTGGAAAATTTCAAATATTAAGGAAGCTGTAGTTGTTCAAAGTTAACTTGAACTTTCGAATATACATACATATTTATAAAACTTTTAAGTTATTTAATAAAGCTTAACAAAGCTTATGGTAAGCTTTTAAAAACTTCTGCCATTTTAGAAGAAGTTCAAATACTACGCAAGCTATTGTAGCTCAAAGTTGAACATAGCTTAATTAAAAAGCTTAAAGCAAAAGCTGTTGAGTTGTTTGAAAAATTTCAAATTTTGAGTTATACAAAACGTTTAAGCTACTAAAGCTTGCTGCATTAAGACAGCTTAACATAAGCATAATTTTTAATTATACTTTATCTTAATTATTTCAAATTCCTTTACATTCCTTTTTGTAAAACACATTCCTACATTTGCAATCCCCTTTCTATTTCCTTTTCCTCAAATTTGCCACAAAACAAATGTTATTAATTTCCCTTAAAAAAGTAAGAAAAAAACAAATGAAACTTTTTTCAAATTAATCAAATATCCTTAAGGATATTAAATTAATATACATTTGATTTAGATAACAGAAAAAAAATCAGGAAAAATTTTTGTTCTTTTTCCACAACACCGCACCACACTTCAAATCAATATTAAAGCTGAATATATTTTTTTTAAGCAAAATTTTTATTTATGACATTTTCTTTAGATACAGGATAAAAGAAAATCAACAACATTACAATTTCTCACGCATACACACAAATAGAAAATAATATTTGTTGCTTTTCTTGTCATAAAAAAAGCAAACAAATAAAATAAATAGCTAAAATATTATTCTCATTACTTTTAAGGAGCAACTAGAGAAGGTTATTTTTTTATTAAATTATCTTTATCTCCTTAAAGGACTTTACTAAGCAAGCGTCAGAGACACAAGACCTGCGCCGTATGAATGAAAGCCGTCAGAGTTTTGAAGCCGTTTCAATTTTAAAGTCGATGATGTTGAAAAATATTAAACTTAAGACATGTGGGGAATAGTTTTCTACAAATTCCTTTTAATTTCATTATTTATATAAAAAAGTTGTCTTTTAGCCGATTTTAAACCCTTTTACGCAACTTTTAGTTTTAGCTGACGCCGCCGTTTTGTTTCGATTGGCACAGGGATTTTAATGTTTTAGTTGTTTTTCCATTTCACATTGGCAATGCTGTTGTTTTATGTACATACAATTACTCTCAAACTGTTTATAGTTTGAGAAACATTGCTGGCAGTTTGAGTTAATTTTAATAGGAAATATTAAATTACAGTTATCGCACACTATTTCCGTTATGCCAAACAACAACAACAATAAACATAAATCGATTATCTTGTAAGAAAAAAGTGGAATCTAGTTAAAAAATCGGAAATTATCGATATTAACGAAGTTCGAAAAATCGACTTTTCATTAGGTTTCTATAAAGCGGCCTTCGGGAACATCAAACTTTAGACTTTTTAGCGAAAAATGTATAAAATTCGAAGTCAACTATTTTATACTGACAAAGTCGACTCTTTTATTCTGTTAGAACAAAGCAAAGTCGATAAACCGATTATCTTGTATGGGAACTAGTTGAAAAGCCCGAAAAAGTCTATGATAAAAGTTTGAAAAATCGACTTTTTTATAGGCATTGTAGGTAAAAGTCAATATTTGTTTGAAATCATAATAAATGTTCTGCTAGAACAAAGTAACGTCGATAAATCGATTATCTGGTATGGGAAGTAGTTGAAAAGTCCTAAAAAATCGATATTATTTAATAATAGATTTATAGATCTTTTATTTAATAATAGATTATGTAGGTAAAAGTCAATATTTTGTTTAAAATCATAATAAATTTTAACATTAAGGGAGCTACCGAACTGAAAAGTGCTTCTTCAGCCTGACAATGTTTTGTCTTTCCAACTTTAGAATATAAAAAACTTTGGAACTACTTAACCGATCTGTAGAAAATTTTAACTATTAATAAGAAATGTTTTAAGCTTTTAGAATCGTATTAATAGAACTAAGAAATTTACTTACCGTGAACGCTACAATGAATCAAAGTTGACGACATTGTTTCGGAAAGGTTTTTTTGTAATACAATTTTTCTAACATCAACAACTTCTGTAATACTTAACCGATTTGCGTGAAATTTTAAATATCAGTTGCCATTGATATAAACTTTTAAAATTTGGTTAAAAATCTTAATAAATTTAAACACTGGAAGTGCTACAATCGAATAAATTAGTATACAACTACTTTGGCAATATTTTGTTATTCTAACTTAAATAAATATATACAACTTCTGAAATATTAAACCGATTTACACAAAATTTAGAATGTCAATAGCAAATGATATAAACTATTAAAAATATAATCAAAAACATAGGAAATTTAAACAGCGGAGATGCTGCCAAAGGCTTAACTTGAGTTTATGAATATTTTGTGATTCAAAATATACAAAACTTTGAAACTACTGATTTGAATAAAATATCTGTTTAATAAGGAAAGTCATGTTTTTTTTAAAGAATTTCTTGTCAATTCATGTTATTATTCAAGTGTAAATTATGTTAAATTTTCACGTGTAATTTATGTTAAATTATCCTCATTCAGATACCTTTACAACATTTCATACAATTATTCCCCTCCTTAATTTGTTTCAGAAACCAGTTTCTGGCTTAATTTAATTACTTATTAAATTTGTAAAAAAATAACTACTTCCTTGCAGGGATTTATTTCTTTTGCACTTTGTATTTCTTTAAAAAATTAAATGAAAATATCACATTACATCGAATGCGTATATACGCTTGTATACATAGAAGACATGTGACCTTATTTTTTTAAGGTTTTACTTTTTTTGAGGTCTTTACCTTCCAGGAAATATGTTGTATGTTGACAATATTGAAATGTTTCTTCTTTCCTCTAACAATTTGAAAAAATCCTCAAAAGAACATAAGCAATATAAGAAAAGGCTCATATAACTGCGGGATGTTTCAAACAATATCCTTCGTCTTGTATACTTGTCAAAAACCGCTTATTTTGTACTTAGGTGGATATAGTGGTTTTGGTGCCCAAATGTCTCATATTTTATCGATTAACATATGATGATACATGATATTTTAATTTGCATTTATGATAAGAAAATTGAATTAAAAATAATCATTTTCATAACAAAAGCGGAAATCTCGAAATTGATAAATATTTTTATTAGAAATTTGTTTATTAATTCGAAATTTTTAATTAGTTTTTAATATTTTATTGCGTCTCTTCTTCTGCCGGCGTTTGTATGGCCGCTATAACACCTTTTGGATTTTCATATTTCTGATTGTAAACCCGAAATTTTCGTACTGGCGGTGGATACATGGGTCCCACTCTAGTCTCCACTTGTTCACAGGCCATTTGTTTGTTTAAAAATCTAAAAATTACATATTTTTCAAAAATTAAAAACAAAAACAAAAACTAATTGCGAACATTTTTCATTTTTAACTACCTTACATCATCTCGCGTAAAGGCCAAACGTATGGTCCATAGTACCTCACATGTAAAGCCCACTGTAGTTATTATAGCTATGGGTATAACCTAAAGATAGATCAATAATAATTAATAACACTTGAAATTTCGAGTTTGTTTATAATATTTAAAAGTATTTGAAGTGTTGCGCTAGCCACTTGTAAAGCTGGATTAAAATTTTCTTCAAGTGTTTTTCTTTTAAGTGTCAGAGAGAAAAAATAAACTGTCGAGTTTGGGTAAATTCAATTATTTGACAAATTATGATGACATTTATCACTTAGAAGTGACAAGTATTAATTTGGTTTTAAGATTAGAGTTTTTCAAATAAATATTAATTTATGTTAGAGTTAGAAATATTGTATGGAGCTAAAATATTGATTTTTAAAGAAGGCAACTACTAAATTAAGAAAACATCTATCTATCTATCTATCTATCTATCTATCTATCTATCTATCTATCTATCTATCTATCTATCTATCTATCTATCTATCTATCTATCTATCTATCTATCTATCTATCTATCTATCTATCTATATATCTACCTATCTACCTATCTATCTATCTATCTATCTATCTATCTATCTATCTATCTATCTATCTATCTATCTATCTATCTATCTATCTATCTATCTATCTATCTATCTATCTATCTATCTATCTATCTATCTATCTATCTATCTATCTATCTATCTATCTATCTATCTATCTATCTATCTATCTATCTATCTATATATCTATCTATCCATCTATCTATCTATCTATCTATCTATCTATCTATCTATCTATCTATCTATCTATCTATCTATCTATCTATCTATCTATCTATCTATCTATCTATCTATCTATCTATCTATCTATCTATCTATCTATCTGTCTATCTATCTATCTATCTATCTATCTATCTATCTATCTATCTATCTATCTATCTATCTATCTATCTATCTATCTATCTATCTATCTATCTATCTATCAATTATAACCTAATTATCCGATCATTTTCGTTAATTGAATTTTTTATTAAAGCTAATTTATCTTAATTCCCCTCAAACTGTATGTAGTTTGAGAGTCATTGCTGTGTTATTTAATATATGAATCCTTAAAATTGCAACCCTGTTGTACAAAATCCTGTTTTCCACAACCCTGTGTTTATCATTATCAAAGAAAACAAAAACAATAATGCACTCAATTGGTTTTTGAGTAATTTACGCTTGCGCTTCTCTCATTTTCTGTTTTGAAAATCATTCGTTTATTTGGGCTCAAGGAATAAGGAAGTGTTAAGGAAGTTGCTAAAAAGGCTAAATAAAATAATAAATTGTGAAATATAAAATAAAGTTCGTTATTAAATTTATAAAAGAAATATCTTTTAAAGAGCATATAAAAAACAACAACAGAATTATTAAAAAAAACAAAAGAACAGTTATAAAATTGGCAAAAAAACAAACGTCATTTATCTCTCTCATTTATTATTTGTTCTTGAATATTTGGTAACTTAGCAACCAAATTTGTATTAAAATCAAAAGCGCGTAGTTAATATTTATTTGAACTTTCTAACAAATAAAAATACCAAGGAAATATTGTTGCCAATATAGCCCAGTACCGCGGCTACTTAACAAAAGAAAACCCCACAAAAGGACTTGATATTTAGTGAAAAATTACAATTAGTGTAACATAACCTTACTTTAAAAACGTAACGGACACATTTTGCTAATTAAATTAGAAAACAGTGTTAAAATTCTTTCAAAAATAGTATTAAAGCATATGATGATAGAAGGAGCAACCATGTTACATCATCCCACCTCATTGCCACCACCACCCATTGTTGCGGCACGCATTAAAGATGAAAAAACCAACAATAATTTTTTCTATCCCCACAGTAATCCCATTGACAATGCTGCGGCAGCTGCTGCCGCCGCTGCAGCTGGACTCATCGATCCACACAATCGGGATTTGCGTAATGCTTTGGTAGCCTCTATGAATGGTAATGTGGCAGCGGCCACTATTAATGGTTCTTTGACAACAGCGGCTGTTTTAAAAAGTGCCTCAGCTGCTGCAGCCGTGGCTGCTGCTCAACAACAACAACAGCAGCAACAGCAACAAACAAATGCTAATAATGCCTCACAACAGCAACAACAACAGCAGCAACAAAATTTGAATAACACAACTAATAACACAGTCTCACAACAACAGCAGCAACAGCAACAACAACAGCAGCAGCAACAACATACACAAGCCCAACAAGCTGCCATGACCATTCTTAATGGTAACACCTCAAATACAAACAACAATCAAACAGATTCCACAGTGAAAACTTCATTATCGGGTCGCTCAACACCCAGTAACAGTGTTAATGGTGCGGCGGGTACCGATCCAGCACCCGGCAAACTTTTCGTTGGTGGCCTAAGTTGGCAAACATCTTCGGAAAAGCTTAAGGAATACTTTAATATGTTTGGTGCTGTTACAGATGTGCTCATTATGAAGGATCCTTTAACACAGGTAAGCAGCTCTTAGTCTTTGGCTTGTTATTTTATAATTATTATTTATCAAATGGCTTTATTTTTATTTATTTTTCTTGTTTAAACTCTCAAACGAACCAAAATACCATAAGTGTTTTTTGAGCCTGGTGTGTGCTATAAAGAGATTTATTTGTTTTCTTTAATATTTCATTTCTTTTTTGAGGGTTTCTTTTCTGCATTATCCAGACATTCTCTTCTTCATTGTCTGCCTTGTTTACTTTTTCTTGTATTAACCTTTAAAAAATATACGAACTGCATCTGCTGTTATTTACCTTTGTTGTCAATATGTCATGATGATCTACCGCACCATCATCTGGTCTCTTTCTTGGTGTTACCTTTTGTTGTTTGTTAATCTCCTAGTTTTGTTATTTTTGGTTTCTTTAGTTTCTGTTTATTTTATTATCATTCTTTTTGTTTACCTGTCTATTTGGTCTTAATGGAAAAACCCAACAATTTGCTTAAAATTTCATAAATTTCTACACAAACAATTTTTGATGTGTTTAAAATGATGAATTTTTAAGAGATTTAAGGGAAATTACTAATTTGCTTAACACCGAGTAAAAAAAATCCTATATGTTTACTATTAACATTTCTGAGACTACATGAGTTCTAGTTTAGTTCCAGTTCAGTCCTAGTTCAGTTCAAGTTCAGTTCCTGTTCAGTTCTACTTAGTTCAGTCCAGTTCATTTCTAGTTCAGTTCTAGTTCAGTTCTCGTTCAGTGCTAGTTCAGTTCTAGTTCTAGTTCAGTTCTAGTTCAGTTCTAGTTCAGTTCTAGTTCAGTTCTAGTTCAGTTCTAGTTCAGTTCTAGTTCAGTTCTAGTTCAGTTCTAGTTCAGTTCTAGTTCTGTTCTAGTTCTGTTCTAGTTCAGTTGTAGTTCAGTTCTAGTTCAGTTCTAGTTCAGTTCTAGTTCAGTTCTAGTTCAGTTCTAGTTCAGTTCTAGTTCAGTTCTAGTTCAGTTATAGTTCAGTTCTAGTTCAGTTCTAGTTCAGTTCTAGTTCAGTTCTAGTTCAGTTCTAGTTCAGTTCTAGTTCAGTTCTAGTTCAGTTCTAGTTCAGTTCTAGTTCAGTTCTAGTTCTGTTCTAGTTCTGTTCTAGTTTAGTTCTAGTTCTGTTCTAGTTCCGTTCTAGTTCAGTTCTAGTTCTGTTCTAGTTCAGTTCTAGTTCAGTTCTAGTTCAGTTCTAGTTCAGTTCTACTTCAGTTCTAGTTCAGTTCTAGTTCAGTTCTAGTTCAGTTCTAGTTCAGTTTTAGTTCAGTTCTAGTTCAGTTCTAGTTCAGTTCTAGTTCAGTTCTAGTTCAGTTCTAGTTCAGTTCTAGTTCAGTTCTAGTTCAGTTCTAGTTCAGTTCTAGTTCAGTTCTAGTTCAGTTCTAGTTCAGTTCTAGTTCAGTTCTAGTTCAGTTCTAGTTCAGTTCTAGTTCAGTTCTAGTTCAGTTCTAGTTCAGTTCTAGTTCAGTTCTAGTTCTAGTTCAGTTCTAGTTCAGTTCAAGTTCAGTTCTAGTTCAGTTCTAGTTCAGTTCTAGTTCAGTTCTACTTCAGTTCTAGTTCAGTTCTAGTTCAGTTCTAGTTCAGTTCTAGTTCAGTTCTAGTTCAGTTCTAGTTCAGTTTTAGTTCAGTTCTAGTTCAGTTCTAGTTCTGTTCTAGTTCAGTTCTAGTTCAGTTCTAGTTCAGTTCTAGTTCAGTTCTAGTTCAGTTCTAGTTCAGTTCTAGTTCAGTTCTAGTTCAGTTCTAGTTCAGTTCTGTTCTAGTTCTGTTCTAGTTCTGTTCTAGTTCTGTTCTAGTTCTGTTCTAGTTCTGTTCTAGTTCAGTTCTAGTTCAGTTCTAGTTCTGTTCTAGTTCAGTTCTAGTTCAGTTCTAGTTCAGTTCTAGTTCAGTTCTAGTTCAGTTCTAGTTCAGTTCTAGTTCAGTTCTAGTTCTAGTTAAGTTCTAGTTCAGATCTAGCTCTAGTTTAGTTCTAGTTCAGTTTTAGTACAGTTCTACTTCAATTCAAGCTCCAGTTTTTTTGTTCTTTTGAAAGTAGGTACATATGTAGTTTTTAATATACAAAGAATCTAGCGGGAAGTCTTTGGACTCCCTACAAGTCTTTGTTTCAAATTTATAAACTCTAGGATTATTTGTTTCTTATCGCAGATCTTTATAATCTTAGATGATTAAAAAAGGTATTAAGGCGCTAAGATATATTTCGTTTAAATGAATACATATTCAAATTTTTAGAATGGCTTAAAATCCAATTCTACCCTATTTAAGAAGCGTCTAGATGATAAATAATTTATTTAATCCTAAAATAAATCTCGAAACATTTATGTAAATGAGTACAAATGATTAAAATTGAAATAGGATATTATTACCCTTAATTAAATAATGATTGTGAGAATAATACTTCTGCTTTAAGTTAGATTATTTACATTAGAAATTATACAATACGTATATAGCTATATTTCTGATCAAGGGCGAATAACAAGTAGCAAATGTAAGATAGGAAAAGTTTTAAAACTCTCTACCTTTTCATAACTAACAAACAATTTAGCTTCTTTTTTCGATCAACAACATAAGTTTTACATAATTAACCCCTTTATTTCTTTTTATCTTTTCTAAAAAGAAAACCTTATTCCACAACAGGTGACTGACTCCCTTAAAAACTGCTGTTTTATAACTTTGTATTTATTATTTTTAAACGCGCTATGAAGCACGAGCTAACATTACAACTAAAAACTCCAACTGTTTTTTCTTAAAAAAAAAACCAATTGATACAACTAACTTACCTAAGAAAACATACATACTTGTTTCCTTAAAAACAAAAATGCCAATAATTTTACCACCAAAATGTTCATATAAAACATTAAATTGAAAAGCGAGCAAAAGAAACAACTAGAATTTTTTGTTGTTTTTAACAAGCGAAACAAACAGCAGCAAGCAAACAGCAGCTGTTTAATAATTTCAATAAATTTCATACGCTTTAGAATTGAAATATCCTGCTAAATAATTTATCTAGATATATGAATGTACTTTTAGTAGGGCGAGAAAAATTTCAATTTTTTGTTGTTGTATGTGTTACACATATAGAGTAGCAGGAAGAAAAAACACATCTGTTCACATTTCTATACCTTTTGAGTATGCTCTACTCATTACTTGTTTTATTATAGTAAAAGGTAAAACACACCAGGCTCATGACATTTAAATTTTTGTTTGGTTCCCTTGTTTTGTTTTGTCGAATGTTAAAAAAAAAGAACTTGACAAAGGTAAAGAGAGCGAATGATCATTGTTGTTTAAATTTGTTTTATTGCTTGATGGGATGTATTACTTTACTACTATATGACCCATTAAATGAAGAAGAAAAAAATGTATATAAAACAAAGAACGGGATCTTTACTAACAAGTCTGTTAAAGCGGAGTTTGAAATGTATGAAAAGGGATTTGTCTTATTATTCTTTCTTGTTTTGCTTTTTATAACAGGATTGTTTTATTTTCCGTTTTTTTTTTCTTGCTTAAGCTATTTTTTTAAGTATGTTTTCTAAAGTTTTCTAACGGATTTTAAAAAATTTTTTTTTTGATTTTTTTTTTTTCTTAAAAAGAAATAAGGGTTTCTTATAAAGAAGTTTTGCTATTCTATTAGGTATTGTTTTTTTAAATAAAAGGCAAAATTTTTAAAAGAATGAATTCATTTAAAGGAGGAAATATTTTTGTTTTGTTGCAGAGAAAAAGAAAGTTAATTAAAATGGTCTATGAACTAGTTTAGAAACTAGACTAGTCTATTGACTATCCCATGGAATAGTCAAGGCACGAGTCTGTAGACTAGGCTATGCAAGAGTTTATGGACTTTTCTATCGATTAATTGATTTACTTTTCTATCGACTAGTCTATGGACTGGTCTCTTGACTAGTCTATTAATTGCTTTATTAAGTAGTCCGCTGACTGGTCTATGGACTAGTCAAATGACTGATTTGTTGACTGGTCTATGGACTATTCCATTGACTATCGACAAGTTTATTGATTAGTCTATAGGAGATTCTTTTGACTGGTCTATCAACTAGTCTATTAATTAGTCTATTGACTAGTCTGCCGACTGGTCTATGGACTAGTCCAATGACTCGTCGATAGACGTATATTATGTATAGTATATTAACAAGTCTATTGAGAAGTCTTTTGACTAGTCTGCGGAATAGTCTATTGACTGGCTTATTGACTAGTCTATAGACTAGTCTATTGACTGGTCCATCAACTAGTCCATTGACTGTCGAATAGTCTGCGACTAGTTTATTTAGTAGTCAATCGAAAGAGTTTTTTTGACTAGTCTATTGACTGGTCTGTGGGCTAGTTTATTAATTGTTCTATTGACTAGTCTGCTCACAGGTTTATGGACTTATCTAATGACTAGTTTATGAACTAATGAATGTAATAATCTATTGACTGATCTATGAAGCAGTTGACTAATCAAATGACTAGTCTTTTGACTGATCTATTGACAAATCTATCGTCTAGTATATTGACTGGTGTTTTGACTAGTGTACTGACTGGTCTATTCTAGTCTAACAAGTATTGTCTAGTCTTCTGAAAACCCAGAAAACTTTCATTTAACAACATTTCCTCCCAAATTTGAATTCATTCACTTAAAGTGCCTTCAAAACTTATTAATTCCATTGTATTAGGTCTTTCCGCTTCTCTTAAGTCTTTAAACATTTTAAGTCTTATAACAATGAAGAACTAAATCCTTTTAAGAAAATTTACTTCAAAGAAAAAACCTACCATAAACCTAAAAGTAGCGCAACTAGTTTTTTTAAGAAATAGAACTAACTCTTAAACAACTATTTTCTGTAAAATTAAGTATGTATAATAAATTACACTAAAACAAACAAAAAATATATATTTGTAACCACATATCCCAAAAAAAAAAAACAATAATCAAACCAACTGGCAAAAATATAAAAAAAAAATAAAAGGCTCCTCTACCAAATTCTAACAGTTTTATTTTCTACACAATCAACTA